TAAATTCCCCAAGTTCAACTGAAACCAAAATAATTTAAGGCTTTCAGTTCAAGAATAGTACCTTAGGGGTCCCAAGAATGAAATCTGCTGCTGCCATTCCAAAGTAAGCAGAAGAGACAGTAATGCTAGAAGACTCTGAATTTACCCACACATGTCCCATCCAAAGAGAACCCACCACTATGACCTTAAAATCATGTTCTGGAATTCATCATGCTCCTTGCTCTTACGTAGGGGCTTTCACACTAGAACACGTATCATCTGTGTCTTTGCCAATAATATGAGAGTCACACTTTTCAGAACAAAATCGTTCAAACGGTATAAAGGGGTGTTTGAGCTTTTTTTGTTGCTAATGTTGAGCATGGGAAAAACTGATGCTGTTAAACACCTCTCTCATGCTCCTGATAGTAAATGAAGAACAACGACAGAAGAGGGATATACATAAAGGATCTCTTCAGTACTCCTTAAAAGCTAACTCAGGAAGTTGACAGTAATAATGGTTAAGATTTTGAACACAGATGCAGAGAACAATGCAGCCTTCATGACAGTCATCATACAGCCAAGTGATAAATATGGAGTCTAATAACTACAGGTACAGGAACCCAAAATAAACATTGTTCTACACAGCATACAGAACATGACTGTCGGTATGCTTGAGTAGCACAATCAGCTGAATCAACTCCACAATGACTGTAAATCTGTACTCAATATTAACAATTAGACAAGGGGAAACAATCCTCCCAACACTACATACTGGCGTGAAAGCCACAGAGTCCTGTGCTCTGAAGTTCTGTGATGGCAAAGCCCTCCTTCCATGCGAATGCAGCTCTATGTATTCCCATATATACCAGCCCACAGGAACACATCCACCACTTACTGGATTTCAGGAGATGCTAATGTCCTCTTGCCTTCATCCCCACTCAGGCTAATGGAGCCTTTTTGATTAGCAATGGGTGGGGAGAATAAGAATAGATAGAAACCTGAAGTACGATGCTAAAAAACCCAAATCCCTTAAACTGACAGCTTGTGCTTACTGCTATTGTCTCCTCTCTGCCAAACAGAATATACTTCAAAATTATTGGAAAAATGGGGTTAACATTTTGCATAAGCACTTCAGTTATTACCTGGCTCACATTAACTATCAACTAGGCTAACATAACAAACAATCCTTGTTACTCAAATTGGCGTCATTGTAATGAGCTCCAAATTAATCTCATCCGTACACAATCACTAATCTTGGTTTGTGCCAACTGAATTTTTAATTAGAATGGAGTGAATCATAGGTTGTTTTTAAAATACATTTCTAATACTTGTTATCCAAAATGAATAAACACTAAGGCAGGGAAGAACTTTTCTATTTACATTCTGAGAAGCTGATTTTATTTATGCATACAATATACACAAGTATGAAATGCATATGGTGAGGACATTTTTAATGAAAATAAAAAATAACTATGCTTACTTCTGATAATGCTTTCAGCATGAGTAGCATCACCAACCTGAAGAATTTAGCCCTCTGACTGTAATTAAAACTGCACGACAAGCCAAAATAAAAGGAACTGTTGCCTCATCCTAGATCAGAACAGATAAAATCAGACTCTGCAACTAGCAGAGTAACTAAATCCAGTAAGCCATGTAATGAAGCTTATATTCTACAGTGCTGGAATTGAACCTTGACCCAAGTTTCAAACAGAAGTGACTTTAGTATTTGTATAGAAGCAAAGTTGAGTTTCAATAAGCATTTTTGACCTGATTCTGCAACTGCAATACCAATTTAACAAAGCAGTTGATAAGCTCTGCTTACAACAACAAAGAGCGTTCACTACATCAACTCATTGCTGAAACACAGGCCCAACCATTTAGGAATTCTTTGAAAAAAAAGCAGCACAGTATGATGGCTTCACCTACAGCATCTACGTTTTAAAATGCAGTATTTCTGGAATCTTGTTTTAGCTGTCTGTCTAACAGCTGCTCAACTAACAACTGCTACTGCGCTTAGATGAAAACCTAACTTGAAGGTGTGCCCACGGCCATGGAAACTAAAGGAGTGACTGAAGTCATCTGCAGCACAGCCATTCAAATGTCTTCAAAGAGGTCTGTTGGCAGCCTTTATTACAGCCACACGAGCTTGAGGAATCTGGAGTACCTGGTTCTGATTTCAAGCCAAGCATAATGCCTGACTTGAGCCATGTAACAGCATGTGACGACTTCTGCTTGGAAAACAAGACACTTGGGCAGATGAGAGCAGTGCAGGAAGACTCAATATCAGAATTCCCACAGATCTGATGCCATGTATTCCTTAGAGACTGCACTCCTCATTTAATAACATCTACATGCTTTTGTGAGTGGTAGATTCTGTTTTGATTGTGAGCAACTCTTGCATCCAAAGTATTTGATGACTGCTCAAGATTAAGGCCATTAAATTATGCTCAACATGCTAATCTATTTTTACTTACAGACAGTAGAAAGATATGTTAACACATTAAAAACTTCTGCTAATATTTTAGGATTCAATTAAAATTATCTTCATTAAACAGCTCTGAGATCTGTGGAAAAAAAAGGAGTTATTCAAATATATAGTGTAATAAACAAGTTATTGTTAATGTAACATTCTGAAGAAAAACTCTGCAAAACATGTTGAACACAAAAAGGCAAATGCAAAAGGAAAACCACACCATATAGACCATAGCTGCAAGGTGGAGATAATATACCCTGATAATATCAGGATTGACTTCAGGAGAATAACCAAGGAACTTAGCAAAAGAGGTTACATTCCCATAGTGAATATTATAGCAAGGCATAACAACCAAAGGAAAGCTGTTGGCTTGAAAATGTCTTTTCCAGTTTTTTTTTAATAAATTTTAAAATACGCTTGTTAATATCTCATTAAGCATCAAGGAGTAAATGGCTCCTCGAGCTGCTTTCCAACAAAGAGGACTGGAAGTTTTCTGCCTAAGCAGAGAACAGAGCAACACTCCTCAAAGAAGTATCATTAATGAACAATGTAAGAAAGAAAGAAAGAAAGAAAACTAAGAACGTTTTAATCCTTGCAGGTTTCCCAGTGGGTCACTAGTGCTAGTGACTTCTTTTCACATGAGAAGCTTGACACCATATCACACTCCATCTAAATAGCATTTCTGCAAGGTGCCCCAAATTATTTATATTTAATATCACATATGCTATTTGTTATTTATTTCAGCTTTCCAGCACATTAAAAAGTTCTCCTCTTCCTTTAACATCAACTACAGAAAGGGATTGCTAGTGTGAATACTTCTCAGGGGGTCGTAAGACTGTGAAACAACAGAACAGGAAAATGGGAAAATAGGAGAACTGGTAAATAAGAATGTGAAAATTACATGACAGTTCTAGAATAGAAAAGTAAAATATTTTCTATAAAGGAGCCTAACAAGATAGCTATTAAGCAGCACCATGCCTCCTTCCCAAGGCAGTTTGTAAGCTTAACAGGAAAGGGAACAGAGGAAGCAAAGACAAGACATCCACCTTTTAAAAATTCTGTTGGGTATGCTAAAAATAATCATGAAAACAATTTTTTTATAAGATCGTGTAATTTTTCAGGGTAACTTAATATGAAATGAATAAAGGTAAAACCAAAACACAACACATCTTTCACATCAGATGTGAAGGACATGTTCAGTTCTGTGGCCACTGCCTTGCATTGCTCCCCCATGACACCCATACCCCAGAACTGAACAGTACAGCACAACAGCCTCAGACTTTGGGGTGCTCCCATACCTGACAGCATCACCCAGCTGCACTGGAGATGTGCTGATAAGGCATAAGAGAGCCTGCAAGCGAGGACTATGCAAAGAGCCTCCCCCCTAGCAAGGCTCTAGCTAGGAGAAGTTGAATTAAAAGATCCTTCCTATGTGCCTGTTTGTGTTGGTGATTCCCACATACCCCTACAGGTAGCCTATAAAATTAAACATATTTAAAGTGTCAATTGCTTTTTGGGTCTATTTTCTAATAACAGCAGAAAATCTTGAGGAAAAAAAGGAAATGAGCTCATGAATGATTGTGTGTGTGTAACTGAGCAGGAATTATAGTAGAGCTCTCTGGAAAAGGTATATTTATCTGACACAGCCACTAAACTCTGCACCACTGGTACAGGTACTAGACACTTATTAAATATGCTCAAACCCTAATAACATGCAATATGGTCAATGCAGAATCAAGGCTGCAGGTCTGCAAAGACAGGAGAACGGAGCCCAAAGAGAGATGGAGGGTAAAAGAGAAAAACACTCTGGGTTTTGAAATTCTTTAATATGGCTTTAGTAATGACTGGTAACTTCTGAGAGGGAGAGGTATTTTAAAAGCATAAACATTATCAGCTTCTTCAAACAAGTCTTTACTACTTGAGGCTAACTTTGAATAGCAAACAAAAAGCTTGGTTTCAAGTTGTGGTGCTTCTTCTTCCATAGTAATAAGACTTTGTAAAAATATTTTCTCACAAAGTTAATTTTTGACCATGACACGTTATTTAGAGGACTTTTTGTCTTCATGGTACAATTACCACATATGAGGAGACACCTTTCATTGACATAGTAGTTTCAATAACATACAACCTGGCTTTATTCTTCCTCAGAGGAAAAGAAAAAAAAATCGACATCACTACAGAATATTATGCTACTTTTTTTGGAACTAAATGCTTTGTAAAGACACAACTGAGCAATTCTTTTTGTTGAAACAGAGCTTTTAAGATGGTCAGATATTAAGAAGATGTCTTTTAAAAGATAATCTGTAGAAGTCATGTTGTCTTGATTAAAATATTTTTTTAAATCCCTACATTTATCAATTCAGCTTTAAATCATTAGAAGACAAAGTATTTATACTCATGTAACAGTGAGATAAGAGGTTTTTGGTTTGTTTTTTTTTTTTTTTTTTCCTTTATTTTGCATCGTTAGCAAATTCCTACCACTGAAGCTATTCTAAACCAGCCAAGTCTCTTTGCGTGGTATAAGAGTCTCAAACAGCGAAGCACTTACATGCAAGGCAGAAGGATCTGGCAAAAATTCAGCATCTTCTCCAAAGATAAAATCTGGTGGCAGGTCAGGATAGTGAGCATTGAAAATTATATCCCCTGGAAATTAATAAATGAAAACATTGTTTACACCTTTATGCACATGCTTATAAACAAATACGCATGATACACATTTTTAACATAAAAGCTGATACCTACATTAAATATATTTCATGTACATATCTATATAATTTTTACAAAAATTCACATGCAAGATAAGCATCAGTTGTTTTGGGGGATGAAGTAAAATTACTGAGGCACAGCTTCTTCCTTGTCTGCAAGCAATGAAACATGAAACACATTACTCTGCTTCACAAATGGCAATTCAAACACTATCGAGGGTTGTCTCAAAACATTAAGTTACAAAAGTGAACTTCTTTTAAAAAAAATACCACATTTAGATCACTGTGTTTTGCATATTAAGTCAAACTCAAATATGAACTACCAAGATCAGGGTTTTCAAAATCTTGGAGCTTTAAAAACTTAGTAGCACTTACTCCCTCTTATCCTTGCCACCTGTAGTTCTTACAAGGAGGAATAAACAGTTCAATAGGAACCATTCCAATTATCCAAATTCTGGCCAAGAGAAATGCAGCACTGTGCACTTAAATAGAGAGACTAAAATTAACTAAAAATATAAGACTTCATCATAGCTTGGCACTGAGCTCCCATTTTGCTAGTGTCACAAATGACACAATTAATTACTGATGTCACGGTTCAAAGAAATTTGGGTTGTATTATTTCACTAGTAAACATACCTCAGAGTTCACATAGGTCAAGAGGCAGTCATCTGCATGTGAAGTCTTAAAAAAACCCCCACAATTTAAAAGGAAAACAAAAAGCAATAACTTATCTAGCATTATTTCTCTACCTCTCAATCACTCCTTCCACTTTATGAAGGTATGACATAATAACTTTGAGCTTTTGCATAAAGCAGATTACTGAGGTAACAAGCATTAGAAGGAAGAAGTCAGTACCTACGAGGAATTAACACTCCTTTAAAATCTACACAGCAAACTAACACCAGTGTGGTAAGCCTTATAAACAATTCTGTTCAGAGAAAGTTAAACCAATTTTTTTTTTTTTTTCCCAAAAAATGAAGAATGCAGAGCTGGAGAAAAGCACTAGCTTACACATCTTACAAAGCCACACAGCTGGCTCAGTGATGTCACCATCTCAAGACATTCAACATGACAGTTTTAAATGCTAATATTCAGTAAACTTATCTTGGCTCAACCTGGAAGCAAGGATGCTGTAAAATGAATTTGCAGAAGTTAAGGGCTCGTGATCAAGGAGCCAATGGCTAGTGTGAGGTAGGTATGCTCTACAGAATCACTCCAAGTCATGAACTCACTGATCATGCGACTCAGGAGAGCATAGTGTGGTTTTCTCCTGTCTGCACTCATCCCTTCCTTTTCACAAATGTCAGAAGCATGTGTAAATATGGGGTTCAGGAAAGAGTAGAAGTCCACCAGTTAAATTATCCAACACAGTCAACCTAAAAATCATCTTTTATTTCACTTAAAAGAAGAACAGAACAGGCATCAGTCCTAGAGGTAACTGCATAAAATTGCAACAGGAAAAGCACCTATAAAAAGTAAGAGAAAAGAATCACTAGATTTCCTAAACTGTAATACACCAATGAATAATTCAGAAAAGTTGATATTTACTAGACTGCATAGTTCCAAAGCCACCACAACACAACCCTTTTCTTCATATTTACTACAATTGCAAAGTCACGTGTGGTCCCTTACCACAACTTCACCAATTACAACATACAGCCCAGGCAACTCTTGAAGTTAGGTGTGAACAAGGTAGAACCTCAATACATTCTTTGACTGAGCTTTGCTTCACAGATAAAAGGGTTTTGCTATGAGTAACTCAGAACACAGCACACTGAAAAAGCTTGGCCTGTGACTTAGGTAGCCTAATGCTCCTCTGAAGGAAAGAACTGGATCTTTGTTTTTGCCAAGTTCTTATGTGATGCTAAGTAACCCATTTAACACAAACTTTTCCATATTGCTATTGCTAGTTGCATGTTTTTCATTCTCTGGATTCCTGCTTTAAAAGAGTTGAAACAGAGTACACATAGCTACAGCTCAGCTCACTAGGACCTGAACTCAAACTACACAGGTGCTACAGAAGGCTGCTTGGAATAAAAGAAGGATCAAAATAACTGCGTTTTTTATGTTATACCTCTGTATTTGATTAGTGAAAAACTATTACAGAACCTTACATCATGAGGTGGCTCCAAAACTGTTTGAAGTAGTGAGATTGGCAATAAACTGTATTCACCTCTGCAAGCTCCACAGTAACAGGTGAACCTTAGGCAAGCTGTGACAGTGCAATGTGAAGGTTTAAGCAGGTACAAACTCTTTTTATCCCCAGTACTTCTCCAGCAACAAGAACTTCCAGCAGCACCCAGAACATCACATGAAGTGTTCAAGTATGACAATAAATGAAAACTGGCATTATTAGTTTAATATACTAGGTGGTAAACTTTGACAGTTTGGGGTTTGAATCTGCTGCTTACCCCATGTAGTGATTGCTGCTGTGGGAGCAGGGCCAACAGCTGAGGATGGCACCCTCTTGGACCACTGAGGTGTGATGTGTGGCCATACTGAGGTCATGCACATCACAGCTGCAGCTGGCCAAACCAACCTATTGCCTCTCTCACATGCTCATAGTTCTTTACCACCTTCTGTCACACACCTTCTACAGGATATTAGTGACATATCACTCCTTATCCACAGTGAGTGACCAACTATGCAGATATTTTGATTGTAAAACTTTTCATGGCTTCCTGATATCAAAGAACTACTTAGTGAAAGGCTCAGAATCCAGAGTCAAAATTAACATTGTGATACTTGATCTTCTGTTATTTTTACTTATAATAACTATAATTGCTTCTGCTTGCCCAGGGTAAACATGTCTCAAATGCCAAGTCCCAATTTTCTGGAAAAAAAGTCATTTTGAGGCCAAACATATCAGCTTGAAAGCCAATATGTATCACAAGATTATTTTTCTCTGTAGCACAGCCATTTTCTGACAGGCTATACAGCATATGGCTGAAGGGTTCTCCAGGCTTCCAAATAAATAAAATTTTTTATTTCAGCCCCCGTTAATCATACAATCACAAAACACTAGTGCTGAGACCATATTCAAAGCATTTTACAACCCCCTGCAATCTCAAAAATAATGCTGTTGTCCTTATTTTCTAATTAAACCAGAAACAAAATTTACTAGATCATTAACACTCTCCTTCCTACAGTACCACAGGTTTTTTAACCCAGTGTAAACCCTAACTTACTCTGGTACAATCAAAACTCATAACAGGCTGGGTGACAATAAAGAGAAAAGAGTTCAGAACAAAATGGTGTTTCCACTTCAATGTAAACAGAAAAGAGCAGTGCTTCTCTATCATCAGTGGTTTTGAGTCTGTCAGTTAAATACAGCATCTTATTGAAGATGATAAGATGTGACCTTAAAACTTTTTTTTTTCCATGTATTTAGAAAGGAAAAATCATCCCCTCAGTTAAGTCTTATTCTAGCAAGTCTCACTTCTGCCATTCATCTTGTTGCTAAAAGGAAAGAAAAAAGAACCTTTTTTTGAACCATATTAGACATTCACCCATGTGACCTCTGGCCTCTGTACCTTTTCTGCTCCATCTTCTCCTCTCCTCTATAGTTTCTCTGATGCTCTGCTTAACTTACCATACTAGGGCAGAAAAAGTAACACCTTTGACTCTACAAAGCTTAGGTATCCAAGGAATTATTTTTCCCTATTTGCAACGATGAGCTATTTTCATAAATAATATATTCTCAACAAAAATACTGCATTACAAGTCACACTAAAGATTAAGGGAATCAATTGTAAATCTAAATCTTTTTTTCTTGCTAAATACCACAAACCAGAGAAATTAAGAGTGCAGTTAACAGTTTACTTGTCAGGAGTATGACGCATAAAGAAAAAAAGCTTCTTTACACTCAAATAAAAGGTATTTAAACAATTACAACAGCCTGCACAACAGCCAATCTGGTATTACTCCACATAAACAATACCATTAGTCTCTGCAGTGAGCTTACAAAATATAAAGTGTGAAATATTTTGAATCACCAGCTACCAGTTTGTCCTGATCTAGTAGAAATAACAGGGTTTTCAACAACTTATTTAATACTGACAAGATATTACCTGTGGTTTTCCTTCTTTAAATATAGTTGCGCTGGGGTGAAAAGATATTTTGCAATTTGCAAAATTATTGTGCTTAGAGTTTGAGACTGGTTATCATTTTTATTCTGAAAGCAAAATGACCATAAAATAAATAAATAAATAAAGATCACTGCATTCTCTCCCCTTCTTGCCTAAATGAAATAAATACCCTTTTTCCTTGCATTTCCAGCATTTGAGTATGTAGTTCCTCATATGTGTCAACTCTGTTTGCCCCCACTGCCTTGACAGAAGGCAAAGTGTGTGGCATTCCACAGTGCTATTGAGCACGACCGTTCCAGCGTGAGGACAACGCAACAAAAACCTTCACACTCAGACCACAGTTATCTCATTTCTGTAGATACATTAGCCAATAATTACTTCAGTGGAACTACATTTCCAATTAAATATTACTAAAGAATTTAAAATTGCTTCAGTAAAGTTAAAGCCATGGAGTCAAAGATAAATTTAGAAGAAAAGGATGCGTAACACATCTTTTGCTTTTCATTATCCAAAAGTATTACTTTATCTTCTTTTTGTCTCCTCAGGCAAACAGCATTACACATTGTAATATTTTACTCCATAGGATTTCAAAGAAAAATTGAATATGCTCCCAGCAGACAAAAAAAATTGAAATATTAATACTTAAATCTATAATTTCTTTTAACAGTCACACACACTGTTCTTTCTTCATCTATCAAAATGCATAAGCAAGTCTAATGTAGTGGTAACGATAGATTACAAGCAAGATAAGTGTAATTCTAAAACTGAGAAATTTCTTAAATCCTTACAGTTGCTTTTTACTGGCCTATCCTATATATAGATTTTCCTTTCTTGATAACTTCATCTGTGG